AGGATCGAGAAGTGTGTTCACTTCCCAATCTACTGAGCCGACCTGTGACAGTCTCATTGTCACAGGTCGGCTAGAACTATGAGGTGAGTGAAAAGCACTCCCCTCATAGCTCTCCTTTAAAACAATTGAATTCATTAATCACATAAAGGATTTTGAACGTTAGAGATATGTCTTAAAAAACTTCAACAAAGTTTTTAAGAAACATCTCTTAAATCCAGCTTCACTCGCACTGCTGCCGCTTTCCCTGCTACCATTACCAGTAATTTCCAGCTGTCAAAAAATTTATTACACAGTAGAAGCGGCTGTCAAAAGGCAGCTGCTCCTATGTAAAATGACAATTGCAGATAGTCTACAAGTGTCATTGAGTAAATACAAATGAAATGTGTCCTTTTATCTGCATATGACTACACTTAAAGGAAGACAGCAGGGAGAAAGGCGAGGCCTGTGCTCTCTACTCCCTCATCTCCTTCCTGTGGCCTCTGAGGGTTTGTATGTCCTGAGGGAGATAGAAACTAGAGGCTAATTCTGGACTGGAGGTCTGAAGTAAAAAGGTAAGAAAAGTGGGAAGGAGCCAGACTGAGCTGCAGTTATTGTCACTTTTAAAGTAATTACCCACATATTGTAATGACTTCCCTTTTGTTGCCCACATATTGTAACCATTGCCTACTTGTTGCCTGTGTATTGCCACAGCTAAATGTTTGTTGCCCAAGTATTGTCACAGTTGTCCATTTGCGGTCTATGTATTGTCAGGGTTGCCATTTTTTTGGCTATGAATTGTCAAGTTAGCGCTGTATGTTTAGAGGATCATATTACTATAACCTAATCCTCTGCAGACCTTTTTTCTCTTTTCTTTCCCAGTCTTCTGGCATTGGCCATGTTAACTAAGGGCAGGTTACCAGCTCTCCCTTTACTTCCTGAAAATCTGGCACATGTGACTAGACATGTGACCATGCACATCATCTCAGGGGAGAAAAATGCCTTTCACTTAGATGAGATTTCCACCAATGCTTTGCTGATGTAACCTTCCCAGGATGCAGCACTTTGGCACTTACCCAGCTTTAAAGCAAGGTGCACATGGAAGGGCTTTTAACAGTACAACAGCAAAATGTTTCACAGCACACTCGCCAGCCAGCCTCCAAAAAAAACGTGTCTAACCGCTTTTGCAGGCTGGCGAGTGTGCTGTGAAACATTTTGCTGTTGTACTGTTAAAAGCCCTTCCATGTGCACCTTGCTTTAAAGCTGGTTATGAGTTGATGAGTGCGTTTGCCATTTGTTTTGCTTGCCTGATTTGGTGCAGTGACACACTGGGGGTCTCAGCTGCCATTGTGATGTGCGGGGTCCCTGGTGTGCCCCTCTGCCTATAAGGAGGTTGGGCTGCCTCCTGGCGAACCTGCACCCAATTTATCTTTTGCTACATATGCTCCAAGATGGAGACTCTCATAGGTTAGAGTTCGGACCGCACTACACAGAGGGGCATTGACGAGGCAGTGCGGCTTCCACATATTCTGCAGAAGACGTGTATCTAAACCTCTGTTTTTAACCTTAGCAGTTAGACAGGTTATTTCTGCAGGCTGGCTGGTGAGTGTGCTGTGTTGTATTATCCCCACAGTCACACCGCTATTAGCCCTCGTTCCTTCAATCTCAGGCTCATAGCATTCTAAAAGTTCCCAGGTATGCTCATTTGTTGTCTTGGTTTTACAGGGACAAGGACTAAAGCACGGCCTGCGAAGCCGATTTCCTCATTGTGGAGGCAAAATCTCTTCATTGTGGATGTTTACTGATTGCTGAAAAGCATAGACATAAATAACAATGTAGCAGAATCATTCAATCACACCTCCCCAGTATAGACAACTGATTATTTTTATTGGGCAAGGCCACATCTTTATTGGGTAAATAAAACACATATTTATTCCATCACACTAGTAAACAACATTATATTTTGAGGCTCAAACCTAAATGCCTGTTCTAACCATAATTTCAGGCAATTTACTGGCATCTAACTAGAGATCCAAAAGAGGCAGTAGGCAGGTTCCAGTTAACCTGCCAATAAAGCTGTGACAAGAAACAAATAGTGAGGAAGGGTGGGATTTTGCCTGGAGACAAGGGAAAATGCATGGTCAGTAATCTCAAACCCCAGCCATACTTCGCCCTTAGCTAGGAATGATCAATAACATTCCCTCTGTAACCTAAATTATTCTTCAGTTAAGGCTATGATGTCTCTATACACATGCAATGCTTTTGTCAGCCACAGCACCCTTTCACTATAGATCAAGAAGCACTTTAAAATGGTAGTTTGTCTTACACAAATAAAACTATTTTGTTTAACAAAAGTAAACCTGTAGCGAAGTCATATCATTTTTAAATAAAATTGTTATTGAAGAGCGAGTGCCTTATGATGCTAGGAGAAACCTTTACTTTTATATAGTGCATTTTTTTATACCGTGTTGCTGCAGCACTTGGACAAATGTACCAAAAAGTCATTTCTGGAGCGGCTCTGGAAATGGAGGTGGGGGTGTTGGAACAACTGTTGAGTCAGAGCTCAACTGCCACTGCCAATATAAAGCCAGAGCAGGCAAACATCGAGCACTGCCAACCCTACTTTGTCCCTCTTTCTCATCTCTTATTACGTTTAAGCAGCTTCATACAGCATTGTTATTTTAGGATTATTATTTCTCTGATCATTTCTTTTTTTTTCTTCCTTTTTTTGTTCTATTTTTTTTTTTTTTTGTCCTGCCGGTTCCGGAAGACAAGGGACGGAACCCGGAAGACGGATGCCGACATGGGCCCAAGGACACAGCGCGGCTCGAGGGACAAGGTGAGTAGCGTTACTGTGTAATCCCGAGTGTGGCTTGGGGTTACTGCTTATGGTACTGAAAATTAACCCCGAGCCACACTCAGGAATACCGCCAGGAAGGTTAATATTCTGTATAGAGTGAATATATCCAGCATCTCTAATACAATTAAGAAACAACTTATTGTTATGTAGCCCCCATCGCCTTCTGTGATGTGGCTACTAGACATTTAGTGATAGCCAGGGCTGTAGACAGCCTGGCTGGATTTGTAGTGGCAATTATATAGTTAATCCCAGGTGTCTAGCCTTGCCTGTGCCCCCCTGGGCGGAGTGTGACTCTGTCATATTGAGGGACAGCCAATGGGAGACACTGTAATGTATGTACAGTACAGCAGCCAATCACTGGTTTTCTCTCAGCCTGTGGTGCATGCTGGTTTAGAGTACATATACTGGTGGGATCTGCAATGTGCTCAGACTAGCTGGGACCCGCCATGGATTAGGGCTGGGTCCTGTTCAGCCTACCCCTCAGGCTAAGCCAAGGCCTGGGGGTGGGCATGGGCTGGGGTGAGGGAAGAGGTTTCCTTGAGGCCTCCAACATGGAGGAGGCTTGAGATGCTGAAAGAAGAAGAGAAGCGGGACAAGTGCAGGCTCTTGAAGTACCCTGGAACTAAGTGGATTTCGGAGCATGGTCGGTGTCTTTCCTGATTGAGGATCTGCATCCATCCTGTCTGTCTGTTACATCAGTTGCTGCCTGCTGTCTCCCAATGGGATTTGCACTGATGTGCCTGTGAAGTCTGGTGAGTCTGGAGCTTCTGATGGCTACCCTTGGAAACCTAGAACCCTTATACCATCTGTCCTCGGTGAATGTGTTCAATAAATCGTTTACTTAGGATTTTACTACCGGAGTGGACATCAGTTTATGGGCACCAGAAGTGGGCAGTTAATGCTATCGGGTGGGCAGTTGAAGCCCTAGACCGACTAGAAGTGAACCGGGCAATCAGCGGCTCCTACGGGGGTAGCGCCACAGTTATTTCAAACAACTAATCAAAAATGCAATTACTAAATGGTAAAGAAAATGTTTTACAGGCTGATAGTGATAGATGTGGATCTTTATTTTGTTTTTTTATACTGGAGTTACTTAAAGTGGAACCAAAAAATACAAATTGTGAGCAGACAGGCTTTTTATTGTAGAGATATCCTATGTCTCTTCTGCAATAAAAAAAAGCCTGCCTATTTGCAATGTACATTGTAACATTCTCCGCACACTTCTGTGCCAGGTCAAATGAGCTCCTGTGCGCATGGACAGGTGTCATGTCATCCCCTGCTGTCCAATCAGGTGGACAAAGACCAGGAACCCGGAATAAGCCGAGAAGAAATTGACACAGGTTAGGGGAGGTGAGTTAAGGAATAAGTGCATTTTTGAATTTTTATTCTTTTTGTTGACATCCAGCGCTGCAAGTCTCCCTCTCCTAGGCACATCTATGGGGCTGTAATCTGCAGGTGTGGCCAACAGAGGGGGCATTGCGGCGCGGGATGTAAACAGTAACAAAACCGTGCCTGTCGCATCTTGGTAAGTACACATCTGCAGAGGAGTAGTGTGGGATCGTTTAAGTCACTTATCCTTTAAAGAAGAACTCCGGGTAAAAAATGTTACTAACCCTTGTAATGGGGCTACCCCCGAACTGCAAGGGTCAAGTGCTCATTTTTGCCTAGGCTCAAAATTAACAATGTTATACTCACCCGATCCTCGGAGGTGGACGGCTGTGACAGTGCTCCCTCTCACCTGTCTACTCCTCCGCTGCAGTGATGGTATGTCCCGCGGCATTCTCATGTCCTATACACTGTGTACAGAACGCAATGACATAAACCTTAGACTGCTGCAGCAGAGGCGGAGAGAGGGCCGATCTAAGAGCAAGCCGACTTAGAGAATTGGGTGAGTATAGCTTTGTTATTTTTGACCCTAGGCAAAAACAAGCACTGCAAGGGTTCAAAAACTTTTTGCCGGAGTTCTTCTTTAAGTTCTGCTTTCATTTAATGAGAATGTTTATTATTGGTGCTGGGTGACAGTTTCTAAAACCTGCTACAATGGTTACACACAAGCGCCGTAGCTGAGAAGGAGCCTATCAGAGGGTATGCCTATTACACACACTCGTGCTCTGATTGGCTCCCTGCAGGATAAAGGCAGGAACACTGCCAGGGTCTGAGGTACCTGTGCAGACAATGATGGCACGTCGCTCCTTGATTCTTTTCTTGCCACACAGTGTGCACAAAGGGCTCTGCATTCGTCACTGTCTCGCCCAGCTCAAGGTCTCTCGCTGCCTGCAGTCCGTTACCCTTTCCAGGACTCTGGAACCTCTCGAAGTTTCCTGTCATGCTAAGATAGCACTGGAAAGATAATATATTATATTAAATGCACTTTCTGCAAAAGGAGCCGTCCACCAAGCACACCAAACCAGTCAGTAATGATTTCCACAAATCGGCAATGCTCCTTGCTCTCCTTTATCACAGACAGTACCATAAATTGCATGCACACCATACCTAAAAAATAGTTCACTCACCCACTGCTTTCAGACTTGGTGCTCTATTTCCCCACGCTGTTCTTCTGTGTGTTCCTTCCTGGAAACCAAGCCTCACTTTCATTTACCCACTGTGCTCAGCTCTCAAATTTCCTTCCTGTTGCTCGGCAACCACAACTAACCGGAAGAAAGATCACTGGCAAGTGAATGTGAATCAAACAACTTTATTTAAAACGAATCCAAACTTACACTGACTTGGCTTGCCTTGATCCAGCATAGATTGTCATTTTATGGAGGCATTTTTGGGCTTTTGATGTCTCTGAATGCAGCTATATTTTAGATAATATGTCCATGCACATTGTGGCATTTAGATTCATATTTTAGAGCAGTGTTCAGGGCTATAAATAAAAAATTTCCCAAAGGAAATTTCCGAAAGGAGCTTACTGGCATAATTTGCGCATTAACATGAGCGTATGCATGTAAGTAAGATCTAGTTGCTAGAATAAATTCAGACATTCCAACGTGAAAACAAATTATTTCAGGGAGGTGCCCTCTCCCCCATCCGAGAGTAATAAGGTAATTAAAAAAAATGTACGATCTGCCGATCTTGGACAGGCAGATCGTACGTGCGATGATCGCAAGCCCGCCAAATAATCGTACGATCATGGGATTTCCCGCGATTATCGCAAGGTGTGTGGGCACCTTTATGCTTCCTCATCTATCTGCTGGGTTTTTTTGTATTCTGACAGTAGCTGCCATCAGAATTAAAAACAACAAATAGCAGGGGATAGCTAGGCTGCTATTGGCCATTTCAAATTGCAATAGCCAACAGCAGGCTGGCTATTGCACCCGCCCACTGGTGCTGTTAATCAGCAGAGGAGGCTGGATGACAGCAGCAGTGAGCAGGTGCAATAGCCAGCCTGCTGTTGGCTATTGCAAATTGAAGTAGACAATAGCAGCCTAGCTATTCATTCCCATGCTGTCAGCTGTTTTTTGGTTTTTTTATATATATTTTACTCTGACGGCGGCCGCTGTCAAAATTAAAACAAATATAGCAGGGGATCCTGGAAAGGTTTACTTTGCTAGATAGATCAGAGTAAACCTTTCTGGGGTAAAATGTTTCTCTGCTGGACATCACGGAGCCGCTAGAGCGGTAGATTCTGTAACATCCTGGAGAGTTGGGATGACTGTAAATGAATATTGTACCCAATGAAATTAGTTTACGCACATATGCCTCTAAAAGCCGTATAGGAAAAAAATTTCATTTACGCACATAATTGCACACCAAAGTGCGGTTTTTTTTTTTCACCGGTGATTTTTCAGCTTTGTTCGAGAGCTGTGTTACAGCAGCAAACACATGATGATCCCTTTCTTCAACATGTTTCCCAGTGAAAACAGTTCTGCATCAGACGATGGGATTGATATACGAAGCACTTCCTATAAACATATCCATATTAACCCTTCATTGAGTTTCTATATCATACAACATCATAAAAACTTTACCCACCAATTTATTGTCTCCCAAAACAGTTACTTTTAAGACATGCCATCTGTCAAGGTTGCAAGTTTGCTTATCTCAGCCGAACTTGGGCTTACACTGGGCGTCTTGTAGCACTTTTTCTGCCCTAAACGCTCAGAAAATATGCCCCCAAAAAATATGATTTATTTCTATTGCCCTGTTCACAGGTGAGTATTTTGTTGCAATAAGCAAAATGCCCGTGACTGGAAAAAGTACATGAGCTTTTTTTTTTACATATTACAGCTTGTTTTGGCCCTAGACTCAATAGAAAACGATTGAAAATGAGCGTTTGCTGTCACGTTGACATGTGAGATACTTGCTGAAAGGGTTGATCCAGATGGGAGGTATGTTTTTGTGCAATGCTCCATTCAGCTAATGTGGCTAATGTGTATATGCCAAATCAAGGTCAGGTCCCTCTGTTGTTGACTTGCAGATTTCACGGAGGGCGTTCTGATCCTGGGGGGTGACTTTAATATGGTACTGGACCCTAGTCTGGACACTACTTCAGGGAGGTCTCAGATCTCGTTCCCCCCGCTTAATAAGCTTAAGAAACGCCTCCTCTCCCTACAGCTCGTGGATGCCTGGCGGGTTCAGCACCGACGCCATAGGGACTATACTTATTACTCAGGTCCCCACAACTCTTATAGCAGGATAGATTTCTTCCTGATCTCCCATCATCTTCTGTCCTGGGCTCCTTCCACCGCCATTGGCACCCGAATCTGGTCTGACCACTCCCCTGTATTTCTTACCCTGGAGGTCCCGGGTACATGCAAATCGTCCTACACATGGAAATTGAACGAGAATATTCTCCTGGATCCTGTTTGTAAATCCGATGTTGACACCACTCTTACCCACTTCCTCTCTGACCATGCAGCCGACCCCAGCACTGATACAATGGGAAGCTCTTAAGGCTACGATACGAGGGGTGTTCATAAAACACGGCTCTCGACTGAAGAGAGAACAGGGTGCCACCCTGTCCAGGCTACTTTCGGATCTTGCCTCTTTGGAAACTGCACATAAAAAATCTCTGTCCCCCCCTTTGCTGCAGGACTTGACCAGGGTGAGATTAGAAATTCAGAGACTGCTGGATGCTAAATATCTCTCCCATAGGGACCGGGTGCGCAGCGGTTTCTACGAACATGGCGAAAAGAGCGGTTGTTTATTAGCTCGCTCGGTTCATGAGCAGCGGCTTCACACTTATGTACCAAAAATCAATTCGTCCAAACGCGGGGTGGTTCATAGCTCGGAACGCATTGCAGTAGAATTTCACGACTTCTTTTCTTCCCTTTTATAACTTACAGTCGGTACCGGACAGCCCCCAACCCCCTGACCTTGTGTCAGAGCTAAAGTCGTACCTGTCACGAGCGTCCCTTCCGGATCTCCCGGACCATGCCCTTCCGGATCTTATTGCTCCATTCACGGACATCGAAGTCCTTAATACGCTTAAGTCACTTTCTTCGGGCAAAAGCCCAGGGCCAGACGGGTTCACCACCAAATTTTACTCTCGGTTCAAAGATCATTTGATGCCTCCTCTGACCAGGTCGTTCAATGCCATCTCCCCGGCCTGTCCCTTCCAAGGCCAAGCTCTGGAGGCCCACGTAGTCGTCCTGCCCAAACCAGGTAAAGATCCGACGCATTGCAACCACTACCGCCCCATTTCACTGATTAACGTCGATGTTAAAATCTATGCAAAGATCCTGGCTAACAGGCTGACAGCATTCATCCCTGACCTGATCCACAAGGAACAGGTGGGGTTTGTGCCTGCACGGGGTGCTAAAGATAGTATTAAGCGAACAATCACTCTGATACACTACGCCCGGTCACGAGGCATTCCCTCTTGTTTGTTTTCAGTGGACGCCGAAAGGGCCTTCGATCGGGTTGGTTGGTCCTTCTTATGGGCCTCTTTACTCCAGATGGGCTTCCCTACGGATTTTGTGGATAAAATGATGGTACTTTATTGCCGACACCATGCCAGGGTACGGGTGAATGGGGTGCTTCCAGCCCCGTTTCAAATACACAACGGCACTAGGCAGGGTTGTCCGGGTTGTCCCCTGTCCCAATTGCTTTACATCCTGGTCATGGAGCGCCTGGCAAATGCTATTAGACTTAACCACTCGATTCAGGGCCTATCAATAGGCAAGCAAGTCCATAAAATGGAGTTATATGCTGACGATCTGCTGTTATACCTCTCCAACCCACTGGTGGCTCTCCCCTCTGTAATGTAAGAATTTAAAATATTTGGAGCTCTCTCCAACTATCGAGTGAACTTGCAAAAGTGTGAACTTTTAGATGTGACCCTTACCCCCGCGGAACGGGACGGTCTCAGGGACTCGCTCCCCTTCAGTGTGTGGTCGGATCACATTACATGCCTAGGGGTTAGAGTATCAGCTAACTGGTCGGATCTATACTCGCTTAATTATGCCCCACTGTTACAGTCTCTGGAAGACACTCCTGCCTCCTGGATGAACTTGCACCATACTTGGTTTGGCAGAATCGCCCTGTTCAAGATGCATTTGTTACCTCGCTGCCTATATCTCTTCCAAACCCGCCTCGCTGTCCGCTTCTTCAAACGCATCCGCTCAGCTGTTCTACGATACATCTGGAGGAATAAGAAACCCAGACTTCAATACGCTATTTTGATAAAGAAGAAGGAACATGGGGGCGCCGCTCTCCGAGACTTAGAGTCCTATTACAGGGCCACTCATCTATCTCATCTAGCAGCCTGGTTTGACTCCCACGATCCCGCGCTGTGGGTCACCCTAGAACGCGACCTCTCCCCGGTACCGTTATTTACACTTCCGTGGTTACCGGCTGCCCTCAGACCGCGATGTTCGGATCTTCCCTTCTTTCCACCCCTGGTGCTTCGGGTTGGAACTCCACGATGTCCAGATATAACTTATCTACGTTTCAGGGCCCCATGACTCTGATCCTTGCCAACCCGGGTTTTCCTGCAGGGTGTGGAGTCCCCACTTTTCTGTGTTGGAAGGTCTCTGAACCTAGCTACGTATTCCAAAGTTTGTCGGGAAGCACCCTACAACCACTAACATCACTGTTTGGCCCCAATTCGCCTCCGCGCGCCTCCTGGTTGGCCTACTTTCAACTCTGACACTTTGTGAACGCATTGTCTGCGTCGGGCGTTCTCTGCAGACCTCTCACTTTTTTTGATAGCCTGTGCGTCACTGCTCTACCAATTCAGCGCCCAGTCTCACTGCTTTACCACGCTTTGATTACCCCGACCAGCGGGGACTCCCTGTATTTCCTTTCAGCCTGGGAACAAGAATTAGGGATCGTCCTCTCGGAGGATGAGCGTCTCAAGTGCCTATGCCTTACACATAAGGTTTGTATATCTACATATGCGCAGGAACGGAATTTCAAGCTGCTGACCAGATGGTATAGGTCCCCGGTTAGAATGCACCAGATTTCCTCCACATATCCAGACAATTGCTGGAGATGCCAGGCTGGGCCTGGCACACTGGCCCACGTGTGGTGGAGCTGCCCTCTGCTTCTGCCCTTTTGGCGGGCTATCTCACATGTTTACTCCTGAGTTACCTCCATTGAAACGCACATCACGCCCAAAATGGCTCTATTATAGGTCTTTCCGGGCTCTATCTCTAAGGTGAAGAAATCCCTGCTCAGATTCTTTATCATTGCTGCCAGAGCCTTAATACCACGGCATTGGAATTCCCCTGTTGTTCCATCAGTTGCAGAATGGACAGCGGAGATGTGTCGCCTGATGAGATCTGAGGAGCTGATTGCAGAAAGGGCTGACCGATCTGATATCTTTTTGACCAGATGGATGCCATGGATTTTGTTCTCTGACACTGAGGAGTTTCGGTCTCTGTGGTGAGTTTGCGTAGATCTTTCCAGTACTTCAGCTACTCTGGGGGCGACTCCGCAGGTTGTATGGCGGGTACTCCCCCCCTCAAGGAGACGGCAACCCGCAGATGCTGCAGTGCCGTCCGTCCGTTTTTTTACTACGGCGGACGGCAAGAGGTTAAACACTTTTTTTTTTTGTAAACTAACCCTATTGGTATTACATAGGGGACTAACAAGCACCCTGTGTAATAGCAGATAGGGTGTGACCAGTCCTCTTTATGGAGGCATCAGGGGTCTTTTAGACCCCTAATGACACCTAGAGACCCCAAACAAGCTGAGGAAGCCGAGATCTGCTTTCCCAGCTTCTTGTCCTGGCTCTGAGAGCCGGAGACTGTGTACAGTGACACCGGAAGTGATATAATACACAGCACTTCCGCGTCCAGTGATCGGAGGAGAGATCAGCGGCTGGAAGCGGCTGAATCTCTCTCTGATCATTGCGGGGAGACCCACCGACCCAGTGGCCGTTGCGGGGGTACCACACGGTACAAACGATCCGGCGGCTGTTCAGACACCAGATCGGTTGTAAGTTACACACCAATCGCCTGCTGTTAAAAGCAGTGCCAAGAGCACGGCTGACGAAGCAGCCGTGTTCTTGTTTTACCCACTTCTGCGGGCCGCCGTCTATAGACATACTGCGGCCCGGAAGTGGTTAAAGTGGCATTAAAGTAAATGTTTTCCCCCTCCCCCCAATGTAAATGTCAGCACTTACCTTAACTGATGTCTCTTATCCGATCTTCTTCTTTCCTGATGTTTTCATCTGTCCCTCCAGCGGTGCGGCGGGTCTCCGATCCAGCGCTGACTCCTCTGTAGTTGCTGGCACTTCGTGTCCCAGGGTGTCTGTACGCGTCCATAGACTTACCTTGTGTCTTTCCTCGTCTCCCGGCCGAAAATCCAAACTGCATGCGCCCGCTCCAAGATGCTTTGTGGCCGCCTGAGCAGTTTCGGATTTTTGGACGGGAGCGTGCGGCAAAGACAAAGGGGCAAAGGCAAAGGGTAAGTTTAAACCGTGTTAAAGCGTTTTTTTTTTTTTCTTCTTCAACTTTTTGCATATATCTACTGCTTGCTAGCCTTATATATATGCAAAAAAGCCCAGGGGTTTAATAACCCTTTAATACTCACCTGATCCCTGGAACGACCGACAAGCGCAGCGTCCTGACTCTCACGCTGTCATTACATGTCAAGATACGCTATTAGCGTAGCGGGGAAGCCTGCTGCGCATTTTGCATTGCTCCCGCTACGCTAATAGCGTATCTTTTCAGAAGCTGCACACAGCACACCGGTTTAAATAGTAACCTCTGTATGCATATAATGACAGCGTGAGAGCCGGGACGCTGCGCTTGTCGGTGAATCAGATCAGGTGAGTATTAAAAAAAAAAAAGCAGTACCTTGGTCACTCAGCCTCGGAGCGCCAATATTTCTTAAAAATTGCCAGGGGCAACTTTTTTTTGCTATGCATCAATGAAACCATTGTAGGCGGAGAATAACTTTAATGTGAGGGGGGAGGGAGCATTCATTTGAAATGGGTGTGGTTCTATAAGAGGCTTATCAGATACATGATTTATCCAGTCCAGTCCAAATCCAGCCTCTCCATACACATCTTTATTATGATATCTTCACTAGCAACCATATATTTAAAAGTGGTCTAATTTATTTATTACAGGTATTTATATAGCGCTGACTATTTACGAATCGCTTTACACAGTGCACATTCACATCAGTCCCTGCCCTCAACGAGTTTACAATCTAGTCCCCATCTCACATGCATACAAATGGGGGCCGATTTAGACAAGAGTCAATTAATCTTCCAGCATGTCTTTGGAGTGTGGGAGGAAATCCACGCAAGCAAAGGGAAAAGATGCAAACTCCTTGCATTTAAAAGTGGCCTAACAACAATAAGACTGGCCATACACTGCTCTTTTATCTCGTTCAACACGCGGGCTGTACGAAAAAAATGAAACAGATTCTTCCATCAACACTATGAGTGTGTCGATCAAGGAATCACTGCTGTTTGCATTATATTCTGATAGTGGCAGTTCATTGACTCTACTTACGGGCAAATATTCTTTAAAACAAGGTCTTTTCTTACTCTTGGCCAAAATATTCATATAATGTTAATCAGGGGAGTCCCCAGGCTTGGTGTCACCCGGAGCAAACTGAGATGTCATAGTGCATGCGCATGATGTCATCACGCACGTGGATAATGATGTCATGCACGCTAACCTGGCGGTGGCCATCTTGGTGATGGATGCCAGTAAGAGAGGAGAGGATATTCACCTGGCAGGATAAGGTATGCCACCGGGGACCCTCCTCTCTCGTGCAACTGTCGGGCTCTCGTTTCATGACTGAGTGCCCGACTTTTCAGAGGGGGTGACATACACATGACTGACAGTCACCTTCTCTGATGCTGTCACCTGGTGTGGGCCGCACCCCCTTGTGATGACACTGCCGTTAATGATCTTGTTCCTATTTGTCGTTGTACAGCAGGGGTAGCCAAACTTTGGCACTCCAGTTCTGAAACTACAAATCCCATCATGGATCTGCCTCTGGAAGTCATGTCTGTAGCTGTCAGAGTCTTGCAATGCCCCATGGGACTTGTCATTGCACCACAGCTGGAGGGTTGGAATTTGCCTTCCCCTGCTGTAGGTTAATATGTATAAGAGTACCTTGTTTATATCTGTTCTGTTCTTTCAATAAGTCAGATTTCTGGTGGAACTCACACCACAAGAAAACGCAACACTCTAATTAAAAACACCTGATTGGTTCAACTCGATATAACTTCTAAATCCACACATGTTACCTTTGTTCACCAGCAGCCTTAGAATCAGGCAGCAATAGTGTCCATCCCCCTATTAATATATAGAAATATTCACACGAGTAGTTTGGGGTTTCAGAGGGCACTTATTGCACACATATTCTTCACAACATCTTGAAATATTAAAGCTTTATTACACACTGTTAAAAAAGTACCAATGAAAACCTTATAAAACAATTGCATATTCCCCCAAGTCACACCTCCCGCATCCACTGTATCATTATATCCAGGTTTGTACGTTAGTGCATCATCCAGTGTATAGCAATAATGCCTCATCTATAAATAACTTAGCGGCAATTGTTCTTAACAGTGGTGTGCTTTCTTTCCAACGCGTTTCACTGATAGCTTCTTCAGGGGATGAGGTGATAATGTTCTAGTAGAGGACAAATAATATGCAATCAATTTGACAATACATTTCATATACATATGTTCACAATAATCAAAACCCATCGATGTTTGCCATTTTCAGAGATACATTGTGCATCTATAATACAAAGTTATGAAGCTACCAGTGAAATGCATTGGGAAGAGAGCATACCACTGTTAAAAGCAATTGATACTAAGGTATTTATATATGAGGTGTTATTGCTAAACACTGGATGATGCACTAATGTACAACACTGGATATAATGATACAGTGGAGGTGGGACTTGGGGAATATGCAATTGTTTTATAAGGTTTTTATTGGTTATTTTTTAACAGTGTGTATCTCAATAAAGCTTTAATATTGTAAGATATTGTGAAGAATATGTGTGCAATAAGTGGCCTCTGAAACCCCAAACTACTTGTGTTAATAATATGATACAACTTATTAAATATCAACTTTAACTACCAGCCATAAATATAGATAGACCAATTCTCAGCCATTAAGGTGCAAGCGATAAATACCATAAACCTATGTAAACCTAAGTTAGTCTACCCCCTTAAAACAAGGGGTGACAGGCCTACATGGCTGGGGGGGGTGACACTTGCTGTGCTGTGAGACCAGCCAGCTGACGCTGGAACCGGCACTATCTAGGGAGAGGCACAAGCCCAGGAAGAGTCTAGAAGCTGCACAAGGAGAAGCTTTTCCCATTAATGCCACAAGCCAGGTAAGCTAAGAGAATCCTTAAAGGGGCCATGACACTGTACTGAGAGAAATAGCAGGAAAGCAAAAGGGAGGAGGAACCGCCACAATGCTATGAGAATGGGCCCACACATATTGTTGCCCCCTTAATTATAATAAGGGCATCAATATATGCTCCTTCGGTCATTTTCCTGGGATATTTCTTTTCTAAAAATCTCACCTTTAGTTTTGGACTTTGTGTAATGAATTCATTGGTATCTAAGCAATTACTGGGAGCAGTGTGTGTGTGTGAGCTACTTTACATGTACTGTGTACATTCAATGTATGGTGTGGTGTGTTATGAAGCAGAGCAAGGAGCAATTCTGATGTTGGGACATTATTAAGGGCTGGCTTATATCAGCCATATGCTAAAATGCTCCATTTACGCATGGCTTTTGTCCTCTGGGTGGCAGCAGTATGTAGCAGTTATGCAAGGCAACAATACATATGGCACCAGGAAATTATAGCCACCTGAGGCCGGGGGGCTGCTGGCAGTCCATGTTACCAGGGGGAGTGCTTGGCACCTCTGTCCAGCATCTGACCCAGCTCACTGACATCACTGGTTGCCAGGAGCTGAGCGCCAGCCAGATCGCCCTGCTCAGTTTCTGGCAACAAGTGACGTAAGTGACCTGGGGGGGGCACCAGCCGGAGCGTCACAGATTGCCAGGAGCTCTTAGCAACCTGGGACACTCTGGCTGGAAAGGGGACAGCAGACACACCTGTCACCCCCAAGGTGACCCAATAAGATGCCGCCTAAGGCAACCGCCTTAGGCTGCCTCATTATGGGCTCAGCCTTGCATGGCACTGTTAACTTTATTGGTAATGTACAAAGTGTATACACCATTTAGGTCTCCACACAGTAGCGTGGTATGGTGTGGTGTGCTGTGCTGTGCTGTAGTGGCCTTTGTTTCCATTCAGTGCACTGCAGAAGAATGCATTGTGGTGAGAATGGGGCACATAGAAAACAATTGTCATCTATGTGCCCTTGTGATGACTGGCATTGATCCAGTGTAGGAAAACAGCAGTCACTGCAACTGGTGTAAAGGAGTCTGGTGACCTCTAGGGTTTTTAGCATGCCCCGATGACTGCCAATGTCACTGCATAGCACAGTGTGTGCACACTCCAGGGTAGGAGTGGTGAACCAGGCATGGTTCCACTAACCATTGCAGTGTGTGTAGGTAGAATGGATGTTGTGTAGCACAGCAAGGTTTAACAATTCAATAATGTTAAAGCAAACCTGTACTGAGCAAATATGGAGGCTAACATTGCTGACCTGCTTTTAAAATGCAGGTTACCTTGCTTTCAAGTTGTTTTGGTTTTAACATCTTCTGGCATGCTGAGTTGGTATGCAGATGAAGAGTTCTGCTGTAATTCTGTGACTTTTCAATGTGCATGCTACTTCAGGGTTAATGGGGTTGATTTACTAAAGGCAAACAGGCTGTTTACTTTGCAAGGGATTTTTCCCTTAGCTTGGTGAATGAGGTGAAAAATCACTTTGCAGAAAATACCGAATCACGTGCATGGAAAATAAAAAAAAAACCTGTATTTTTGCTCGCACATTATTGGATGATGTTAAGGGAAAAATCCCTTCCAAAGTAAACAGCCTATCTGCCTTTGGTAGATCAACCTCCGTGTCTCTATGCGGCTGCTTTGCTGGTTCATTCTGGTTTGTGTTTCCGGGTATTGACCCCAATATCTATGAACTGGCCACTAAAACCAAGAAAAGGGATGGCAACTACACAAGTACAATAGTGCTGGGGTCTGTGCAGTATGGAAGAAGAGTAGCGGCGGAAAAAAATATACAGAAATAAAGGCCATACTCCACAATGTATCCTTTCAAGATCATTTTTTTTAGTTTAATACATGAGAGAATGTTCGGTGGGAGGCAAGCAAGCAAGCAAGCTTACTAAAAACTATTGGCGAGAGCCATCATGGAAGTGTTAATATTTTAAAGCATTGACTGATGTGTGGGATCCACCCTTGTGGCCACCTTGAGAAATGTATTGGTGCTGTTTTCAGAAGAGGTTGTCTGTCACAATATATGTTACTCAGCTTTAAAGGTCAACTTTTTCATTACCGTGGGTTAAAAAAGTAATGGTTGGCATCTGAAAACAGTTGTAACGGCTGCCACCAACGATGCATATCTTCTCCAATTAGTCCACTAGGTGGCAGCAATGCACCACTACAAAGTTTACACTACAGCTTTCTATCTAATCAATATGGTCTGAAGAATTCATAATCTCATGTGTACCAAAATTGTGTGCAGGTTTAATCATTGTGGAGTCAAAAGTCTAGTGCAGGGATCTCAAGTCTCCCTGATGTTCAGGGAGTCTCCCTCTATTAGATAGCGGCTCCCTGATGTCCGCGAGGGAGGCCTTTTTTTCCCTGAAAGCTTTACTCTGAGTAAACCTTTCCGGTAAGATATCAGTGGGTAAGGTTTCAGAGTGAGGCTTGCCTCCTGGAGGAAGGTCATGTGATCTCTAGAGTAGCCTCAGAACGAGGCTTGGCTCTCAGAAGGAAGAAGCTACTTGCTGTACAGAGAGGGCGGACATAGACTACTATTGAAAGCAGGTACAGGCACTGCTGCAGGGTTGAGAGAGTGCTGTTAACCCTTTGTGGATAATATAGAATCAATTATATGTCCTGGTTGTCTAGTTATAGAGAACATTTATTTAATGTGCTGCCCATAGCAACTAGTCAACTGTGTATTAGAGACTTTACTCCTCAGCATTTTTTTAAAAAGGTCTTGGGCTGTCTAATAAATTGTGACCTTTACACTGACAGATACTTGAACATCAATTCACAAATCTGATGTATATATAAATATATA